GGCGGAGCAGCTACCATCTTGGAACGGGAGGCGGAGCAGAGACGACTGGGAGCGACCGAGCGGGCCGCCGCCGCCGCCATGAACCCCGAATAGTGAGTGAGCCCCGCCCGCGCCTTCCAGCGCAGCCTCGATCCCGAGTATGAGGCTGTACTCTTTACCGGGGTTCTCTGGTCCGGGTCAGGACTGCGCGGCGCCCCCACATCCGGGTCCCTCTTCCGCTGACCCCCCTCTCACATCCGGGTCCTGCCCCTCCCCCCTGGGGGCCCCGGGACCCCGGCTCAGCACCCCGAGTCCTCGAACTGGGCACCCAGAGACAGCCACCCTGAAGGACAGCACTTGGAGCTGAGACACCAGCCCTACCAAGCCTTATCGGTCAGGTGACCCCAGAGCCCTGTTCTCTCCGGGCGTCAGTTTCTCCACCTGCTGCTTGACTACGGTCCCGACGCTTCGGAACCCATCACTGTAGTTTTTGGTCTCCGGTTCAGACACTTTTAGGTCGGGCCGTCAATCTCTCTGCCCGTCCGTTTCTCTTGGAGCCCGATTCGTGGGGCCGGTCTAGACACTGGCCCCGAAGCACCCCTTGGGGTCTTGTCTCTTGCGGGTCTCCGCTCCAGAGCTACAACCTTGCCCCGTTGCGTCCCTCGGTCGCGTCGGCCTGTCGCTTCCGGCGGTCTGTCCTTTCCGCCCTCTCCCCATCTTCGTTCAGCCCCCAGCGCCACTGTCACACCCCTTCCCCTCGCTGTCACGCTGCGGATGAAGTTTAGATTAATGTGGAATTTCCTTTCCCCTTTCAGTAGGATTCTGTAGTCCTCAAACTCTTCTCACTTCTTGGGCACTCCCACGGTGGGTAGGTGGCCCACATCTCGTGCCTTGGACTTCTGGTTTCCCCCCTAAGTATCAGTTATCTTCTTCCTCTCTCCCACTTCCTTTTTCTCCTCCAGATCTAGGCCTCAGGTTTCCTTGGGGAAGGGTGAAGCTCTAACTGGATTAGAAGGGAGAGTGGAGAAGGGAACCAGCAGACTCTCACAGAGACTTTGGAGTCTCACAGACCTGGTTTCAAGAAAAGTTATCAGCTGTGCAGCTTAGGGCAAATCGCTTCCCTTCTCTGACCTCTGGTTTCCCCCAGTTGGCAATAACAGCACTCACCTCACAGGACTTTCGTGAGGCCTGAATGAGATGATGCATTTGAAGTACTTTGCACAGGGCCAGTCACAAGTAGGAGCTCAATAAATATTAAGTGCTGTTATCATTGCCACTTACTGACACTTTTTAATGATAACATTCTATCAGGCTTTATTTTTTAATAATTATTTTATTTTATTTATATATTTACTTATTTACTTATTTAAATTTGATCAGAGAGGGACAGAGTGAGTGAGAGAGAGAGAAAGTGAGAAAGCAAGCTACCAGATCCAGGACTCAAACCACAGCCGACCATAGAGGAATCCAGCGCCCTTAACCACCACGCCACCTACTGGTCCCTCTATGCTCTTTACATAGCTACTATCTTCACTTAATAGGTTACAGGCTGGGCCCTAGCTTCCACTTCTGGGACCTCCCCTGCCAGGCCAGGCACACCACAGGGCATGTAGTGGGGTTCCCTACTGACCGAACCATGGAGTCTGTTAGAAATCAGGGTAGGATACTCAACTCTGTCACCTGATGGTGATCCTTGGTAAGTCATGCCCCTCTCTGTGTTTTGTATTTCTTCCCTGTAAGCTGAGAGCCCTTTGGTCTAGCTGTGTTATTGGGGAGAAAGGCTGGCTTTCCCAGACCCGGGACTGGTGGGAGGATCTAGTGAGCACAATAGTATCCTAAACTGAGGTATGCCTCATGGTGTGTGTGTGGTGTATGTGTGTGGGGAGCTGTGATTGTGACTTTAGGATGGTGGCAGGTGGGCTCCCTGCCTTCCTTCACACCTTCCCATCCTCTCTCTCCAGTGACTACCTGTTTAAGCTGCTTTTGATTGGTGACTCGGGCGTAGGCAAGTCCTGCCTGCTCCTGCGGTTTGCTGTGAGTAAGAAGCTTCCCATTCCGTCGATCTGGGGTCCTGGCTGGTAGTTGGGGGGAGAAGGAATGATCCAGAGTACAGTAGTTGCATGATCTGGGAACGAAGGACAAAGTTGCAGGACCCACGAGCAACATCTGACTGAACAGGGCACCAGACTGAGAAAGTGGGACAGTGATGGCTGAGGCGTAGCAGTTAGGAGCCCACCTGGGGCAGGGAGCAGGAGGAAAGCTTTCCATTTGGGCCTGAGCCTATTCACTCAAGCTATTTCACTGTCCCCTGAACTTGCAGGATGACACATATACAGAGAGCTACATCAGCACTATTGGGGTGGACTTCAAGATCCGAACCATTGAGCTGGATGGCAAAACCATTAAACTTCAGATTGTGAGTGTCTCTCTTCCCAAAACCCCTAGTATAGAGACATCCACTTTGGAGGGGAGGGGCTCTGAATATAGAGCCCAGAGCTGATCTGCACTTCTCCCTGCTGTTTCTAGTGGGATACAGCTGGTCAGGAACGGTTTCGGACTATCACTTCCAGCTATTACCGGGGGGCTCATGGCATCATCGTGGTGTATGACGTCACTGATCAGGTAATATCCTGGACCACCATCTTCCGCTTTGCCTTAAGGCTTTGTCTCTTATGTCTCTTCCCTCTTCCCATCCTTTTGCCCTGGGACTTCCTGGAAAGGAGACTGTACTTAGAATCATTTCGTAAGGAGGGAAATTGCCACAGAAATGACTCTTTCCAAGGTCCTACCTACAGTAGTGTCTTGGCAGAACCAGGCCTCATACCTCTCCTCCCCTCAACTGTCAAACTTGCTACCTTATTCTAGACCTTCCATGTATCTGTGTTTTGTGGGTTAAGCAGCTGTTTGGCCACTGTTGTAGGCTGTGGCTTCCTGTGTGAAGACATGGTCGGGGGCAATTCAAGGCCCTTAGTCTAGGAAATAAGGGGGCCCTGAACTCTGGGCCCAATGTGAGCAAAGTTCTGGGAGCCTGAAAGAGTCCCACCATATCTTATAGTTTACATAATGTGTCACATCCTTCAAATAGCTTTTTATATTATTTTAAATTTTTAATGTAAAAAAATTAATTCATGATCGAGAGAGAAAGGCATCCCTAGCAGACTCCCCATGCCACTGATCTACTTCCAGTCCACTTAAATCATGGGCACACGTGAGCTTGCACGCCTGGTCTGCTCAGGATGGTTGTGTGCCACATCTGGCCCTAAAATGCTTTTTTTTTTTGGAGAGATTTTCACTGTAGGGCGCGTGCGCTCGCCAGACAGACAGAGAGAGACATAGAGACAGAAAGCGAGAAATCACCCCCCAGGGGGGATGGTCACGCCGCAATCCCTTCTCCTCCATTCTCCTCTCGGGATCTTGGGCACGCACGCACACGCGCCCGGCGTGAGTTTTAAGCCACCAGGTCCGGGACACGAACTGTGGTCGACTACGTGGGAATCCAGTGACATAGCCATTACGCTAACTGCTGGTTCCCCCCTAAAATGCTTTTGATGTTTATCAGAGGTCTGTGTTATAGTCCCATCTTAGAGACGAGGCATTGGGTTCAGGATAGTGAAGCAACTTGTGGAGAGTCCTCCAACTACATCAGTGGCAGTGGCAGAAAGCCTCGTCTGCTGATTGCACCTGCTTCGCTTTTCTGCCAAACCGTGTTGCTTCATGGAGGCCATGCCCTGCGGACATGGAAGAGTCCCTGCTCTGAAGGGCAGCTGGACTCTAGCTCACGATGACTTGTGATCCCCCTGCCCATCTTCCCTGCTCTGGACAACAGGCTGCGGGTAAACTTTGTGCCCCTCATGCAGAGGTCATCAGGAGTCTCCTAGCTGCCAAATTCAGTGACCTCATTTCAGCCCTTGTCCTGACTGACTTCTGGCTTTTTAAAAAAGTATTCTCAATATGTGAGATGATTAAGGTATGACAGGAAATCTCTCTCTCCCTCTTTATTTATTTATTTATTTATTTATTTATTTATTTATTTTCAACTTGCCAGAGGGCACATGTGCTTTCTGGCAAGAGACAGAGAGAGGGAAAGTGAGAAAACTTTCCCCATGGAGCCTGGCCATGCTGCAATCCCTTCTCCATTTCTCTGTCCTTTCAGGATTTTAGGCATGCACACACACACACACACACACACATGTACCCAGGGGGTTTATTAAGCTGCTGGGCCCAGGACTCAAACTCTGCAGTCAGCCATGTGGAATTCATAGCTGTAACCACCATGCCACCCGCTGACCCTTCTCTTGGCTTTTAACTTTCTTCTTTCTTCTTGAAAAGTTTATAATCCCAAACTCCCCTACCTCCTGCTGCATTTGATTTGGTGTCTTTGGTGTCTTTACTGGTTCATTCTGTATTGCCCTCACAATACCATATTTTATGCATCCTAACTCTGACCCACTCTTTCTCCTTACTTTCCCTGCACAGTTCCAACTGCTGTCAAGGTTTGGCTTCTGTCTTGGGTTCTGGGACTTCTGTATCTAAACAGGTCATACTGTGGCTCCCCTACTCTGTCCATGTCTGGGCTGGCACTTTGTGTCTGTAGTTAGAAAAGTCTAGTCTTCACAGGCTAGCAGATGATGTGGTAGTTAAGGTGCTGGATCCCACATGACCAGCTGCACAGTTTGAGCCCTGGACCTGGCAGCTTGAAAAACACACTAGGCGCATGTGCATGTGTACTGAAAGTCCCAAGAGGACAATGAAGGAAAAGGAATTGCATTGTGGCCATCCCCCGGGGGGGGTGATTTCTCACTTTCCCCCACTCTCTGTCTTTGTCTCTCTCCTGTGAGCACTCGCACCATGGCAAAACCTAACAACAAAAACTTCTAAATTCTAGTCTTCACAGTTGTACCCTGTGAACTAAATGGTAGAGACTGTGTAAGGAAACACTTGGAGAAGTGTTCAGTAACTTGCCCTCAGATAGTCTCTCCTGAACCCTAGACTATCTTGCAGAACTCAAATGTCTAGCACTGGCTTTACCCTCTCTCCCCAAACCAACTCCTACATCCCCATGTTTAAGAGAAAATTAACTAGAGGGGACGTGTGCTCACCAGAGAGAGACAGGGAGAAAGAGAACAAAGAAAGTGAGAAAGCACCCTCCACAGGGCATAACCATGCTGCAATCCCTTCCTCATTTCTCTCTCTTTGTCTCTCTCTTTTTTTTCTTTTGGAGAGGTTTTTGCTATAGGGCGCGTGCACTCGCCAGAAAGCCAGAGAGAGACAGAGAGACAGAAAGCAAGAAATCACCCCCCAGGGGGGATGGCCATGCCGCAATCCCTTCTCCATTCTCCTCTCAGGATCTTGGGCATGCACGCACATGCGCCCGGCGTGAGTTTAAGCCACTGGGTCCGGGACTCGAACTGCAGTCAACTACGTGGGAGTCCAGCGACATAGCCATTATGCTAACTGCTGGTCCTTTTTTTTTTTTTTTTTCAAGTTTTACAATGGGTGCTTATGTGTTTACCATAAAGAGAGGGAGAGAGAAAGTGGGAAATCACTCCCTAGGGGGACGGCTACACCACAGTCCCTTCTCCTCCATTCTCCTCTAGGAATTTTGTCCATGCATGCACACACACCCAGTGTGGTTTTCAAGCCACCAGGCCTGGGACTCAAACTGCGCAGTCAGCCGTATGGTTTCCAGCTGCCTTAAGCACTACGCCATCAGCTAATTCGCATCCCCATTTTTCTAACAGTTCCTGTCATCCTGACCAGAAAATACTTCCGCCTTGTCCCATCAATCTCAAGTCCCCTCTGTTCTCTCCCTATCATCTCTCTCAATCTGTCGCTTCATAATAATAGCAGTGATGAGGATAATAGCAGCTCTTGCTAATTGAGCACTTATTATGATAGAGGCCTGCATTCATTCCCTCATGTTTACAAGAGCCCTGCCAGGAGGTACTATTTTATAAAAATGAGGACAGACTCAGGTCAGATGACATGAATATAGTCACACAGTAAATACCTAGGCCAGGGCTTCACCCAGGGTGGTCTGACTCTAAATCCTGTTTGCTTCCCTGCCTCACTCCCTGACTCAGGCACATCTTCTCTTCCCGTAGCTATTTCAACCACCTCTCAGTGGCCTGCCTTTTCTTGCCAATCAGTCTGCCTCTGCAATCCTACTAGGACTGTTTTGTTTTGTTGTGAGGTTTTTGCTATAGGGCGTGTGCACTCACCAGAAAGACAGAGACAGAAAGCAATAAATCACCCCCCCGGGGGGGATGGCCACACCACAATCCCTTCTCCTCCATTCTCCTCTCAGGATCTTGGGCACGCACGCACACATGCCCAGCATGAGTTTAAGCCACTGGGTCTGGGACTCGAACTGCAGTTGACTACATGGGAGTCCAGCAACATAGCCATTATGCCAGCTGCTGGTCCCTGTTTTGTTTTTTGTTTTTTGTTTTTAATTTTATTTATAATTTATTTGCTATAGGGTATATATCCTCATCAGAGAGAGAGAGAGAGAGAAAGGAAGCCACCAGATCTGGGATTTGAGCCACTGTTGGGCATATAGGAGTCCAGGGCCTTAACCACCATGCTACCTGCTGGCCCCACGACTTTCTTAAACATAGGTGTGATCCTGTTGCTCCTGCCTAACAAGACCTTCACTTGCTCCTGGCTGTCCAAGACTTAGCCAAGCCAAGACCCTGCCCTTCTTCTCTGCTGCTTAGGGCCTGCATGCCAACAACATCCTACTTCTCCTCACTCCCAGGGACACCATGCCCCTCCCCTTCTGATCTGATAGCCCTTCTTCACGAAGCAGTTTGTGCCTGCAGACTTAAGAGGTCAGCTGTAGGCTCCCCAGGCAGAGGTGTCCTGGGGCACCCCATCTTGTCCCATCTTGCCACTGTGTATGTTTTGGTATATTTCTTCACTGTCTTCAGAATGCCTTAGGGCAGGCTCAGGTAAGAGTTCCCTCTTTGAGCCCAGTGTATTTTCAGCAGGCCTTTGTCTCCTAAGAAGAAAAAGTGGCTCTAGCTTGAACATTCTCCTAAAGTTCTGTCTCTTGTCTCGGTGGAAGGTTGCTGGGAAAGTCTGAGGCTAAGTGATAAGGTCATTGATGCCAAAAGTAGGATGAACGTTGGGCTCTGTGCCCAGAATACTTGTTTCATAGAAGGCCAGGCTCTCCTCTGTGAGGTCCCTTTACCTCCCACTGGTCTCCAAAACTGTAAACTTACTTAAAGGGATTTTTAAGAGTTTTGCTATAGGGTGAATGCACTCAGCAGCAAGAGAGGGAAAGTGAGAAATCACCCCAAGTGGGGATAGCTACCCTCAGATCCTGTCTTCATTTTCCTCTCAGGATTTTGGGGCACGTACACACATGAGACTGGCATGTTTTTCAAGCAGCTGGGTGTTGGACTCAAACCATAGAGTCAACCAGGTGGATTCTGGCTGCCTTAACTACCACGCCACCTGCTGGGGAATTTTTTTTTTCTTAAAGGTTTTTGTTGTAGAATATGTGAAGTCCCTGGAGAGAGAGAGGGAAAGTGTGAAATCATCCCTTGGCAGATGGCCATACCGCAGTCGGTTCTCCGTTCTTCTCCTGGGATTTTGGGCATGCACGTATACATGCTTGGCATGAGTTTTAAGCCACCACATGTAGGACTTGAACTGCAGTTGGCCATGTAGGATTACAACACCTTAACCACCATGCCCCCCGCTGGCTTTACAGGGGTTTTTAAGGCCACTGTGGGGAAGTTGGTGGTCCTTGCTAGCTTGCCCTCTCTATTCCTGTTTCCTTTCCAGCCTGCTTCTCTTCCAGTGCTATTCTCTGCTCACATGTAGTTAGACCCCGTAAGTGTCTCAGGGAACAAGACAACTGCAGGGAGCAGGTCTGAGCAGTTGTGGAGGTGTTGGGGCTGTGGGTAGACAGCCATGCCTATACTGGGCCTGGCTTTTGGGGTCCCAGACAAGGTAGGTTGGAAGGAAAGCCAGACTTGTGACTTGGGGTTCCTCTGGGTCCCTGGGCCCAGGATAACTCTCTTCCCCTCAGAGAAGCCCTTATCCTCCAGGTGAGGGGTAGGTGTGGAAGTTGGAAGCAAAATAACTGTCGACCCTGGCCCCCTGTAGGAATCCTACGCCAACGTGAAACAGTGGCTGCAGGAGATTGATCGCTATGCCAGCGAGAACGTCAATAAGCTCCTGGTAGGCAACAAGAGTGACCTCACCACCAAGAAGGTGGTGGATAACACCACAGCCAAGGTGAGCAGGGCTGGGCTGGCTGCCCTGGGTGGGCTGGGGCCCACTGACCCTCACCCCACTCCCCTCCCTGTTCTCTCTTTCCCCTCGTCAGGAATTTGCAGACTCTCTGGGCATCCCCTTCCTGGAGACGAGTGCCAAGAATGCTACCAATGTTGAGCAGGCCTTCATGACGATGGCTGCTGAAATCAAAAAGCGGATGGGGCCGGGGGCAGCCTCGGGGGGCGAACGGGCCAACCTCAAGATTGACAGCACCCCTGTGAAGCCGACCGGTGGTGGCTGTTGCTAAGAGGGGCACATGGGGTGGGACAGGAGGGGTCGCCTTCTCCAGATGATGCCCCTAGAGGGGGCAGGAGGTACCTCCCACTTCCTCTCCTGGGGCATTTGAGTCTGTGGCTTTGGGGTGTACTGGGCCCCCCATCTCCCTCTGGCCCATCTGCCTGCTGCCCTGAGCCCAGGTTCTGTCAGGGCCCCACAGAGGACATCCAGGACCTGTGGCAGGGGTCGGGGCTGGGGCTTGCTCTGCTGCTGCCTCTAGGTAACTTTAAAAGATGCCTCACCACACCCCTTTCTTTGGAACGAGGGCTCCTCTGTCTGCCTCCCTCCCCCCAATGTATGCTGCACTGGGTTCTCCCTCCCCTTTGTCTCCTTGCTTCCCAGAGCTGAGGGCCTTCCTGACCCCTACTGCCCCTGGCTACAGTCAGCACCTGGAGTCAGGAGTATGGCTGTGGGATCCAGGACCTCAGGACAGGCAGGGGGCCATGGCCCAGCAGCCCACCCTTCTGTCCTCTCTGTTTCCCTCCCATCCCTCCCACACTCACAGCTTGAGCCGTCCAGCTGGGGTGGGGTCTGAGCTTGTCTAGGGCAGGTGGGCGGGCAGCTGTACTGGGCCTGTGTCTTTAGCCCAGAGGGAACCTGCTCCTGCCACCCCCTGCCCTGCCAGAGCTAGGCCCATGCGCTGCCTGCCCACCGTTCCCCTTTGTCCCTGTGGCAAGCGGAGGCGGAAGGCCCACCGTGCCAGAGGCCAGGCCCCAGCCTTAACCCTCACTCTGCCAACACCTATTCCCTGAGGCAGCACATCTGGCTTATCCACCCTTCCATCCCTTGGAGCCTAAGAGGACAGAACCTCATCCTCTGCCGCTCCTCCTGTGAGGAATGTGGGTGCAACCCAGGGTCAGGGGCCTCTGCTCACTCCTCCCTACCCAGGATCCTAGCCCCCTGCCCTCTGGCACTGCTTCTTCCTGCAGAAAAACCAACCTTTGGTCTCTACCTAAGAAGCCATGTCCCTTGTGCTGTCTCTTGCCTGTCCTACTCATCCCCTGCCCTCCAGCTTGTATTTAAGTCCCTGGGCTAACCCTCAGGGTGCCCTCCATTCCCATGTTCCCCTCTGGTGTTATGTCAGGCATTTTGCAAGGAAAAGCCACTTGGGGGAAAGATGGACAAAAAAAATCAATAAATTTCCACTGGCCCTCGGGTGAGCCGAGGGTTTTTGCAAGGAAGTTGTGGTGGCTGAGTGTGGTCTGTGGCCTGAGCCTTTCCTTGAGATTGGAGATAAAACTGGAGCCTTGGACTTGGGGGGGGGGTACAGTAGGGAGCTGGTTTGGGCTGTGTGACCTAAGGTTGCTGGTAAAAGCCCTTGACCCACTTACTGGGGGGCCAGGAGAGCTGGCTGCTTGTGCTTCTGTGGCCTGTCCCCAAGGACCCAGCACGGTTCTGTCAGGGAGGAAGGCAGGCAGCCATCTACAAATACCTAGTGAGCCACTGCCAGTGTTCACCCAGGCACATGCCCAAGATGTGGAGTTGGGCATCAGCCAGAGCCAAGAGCCAGGGGGGTCTGCAAGTGTACCCTATTGCACCTGGCCTGCAACCCTTCCGTGCTACCCCATCTTCAGCCCCTTATCCCACCTTTGCTCTGGCTTCACACTAGGTGTCTGACCACTTCGCCAGAATGCGTCGCAGTTCAGGTTTCTAGGTCCGGTCTCCTGTCTCCGGCACTTGAGTGAGATGCATATGTGGGGATAGGGTGTGTGGGGTTAGGGGTGTGTGCCATCCAAGTGGACCAAATGTGGCTGTGCCGAGCTAGTTATGTGACGGGAGTGGGGAGCGGAAGGTACCAAAGATAAGTGACCATTTCTGTGTTCCTGAGGGCGCACGACCGTGTGCTAATGGGGCACTGGTGGAGCCCCGGCCGGGCCGGGTGAGGCGGGCGGAGGGGCGCAGGGAGACCCAGCCCCGCCCAGGGCCGCTCGCACGGCAGCCCCGCCCCCGGCTCCGCCCCGCCCGCTTCGCCCGCTGGGGGGGGGGGGGG